AAAACATTTTGGTTCTTGTGATGTTTATGAAGACTATATAGCAAAGTGGCCAGTTCTTTGTTGTCATATTAGATGAAAAAAATATACAAAGTTGTTTGAGCAACATGATTTCAAGTGATTTTTTCTGTGTGAGAAGAAAAACAAACACCTAAGTGTAACAAACACTGAAATGGTTATATTAACTTCAGAATCATAGGATTATGAGTTTTTTCCTCTTCCCTATTTAGATTTTGGGGTGATATACTTTTCATATTGAAAATTTTTGTTTTTTGAGGAAGATTAGCCCTGAGCTAACTGCTACCAATCCTCCTCTTTTTCTCTGAGAAAGTCTGGTCCTGAGCTAACATCGTGCCCATCTTCCTCTACTTTATATGTGGGACACCTACCACAGCATGGCGTGCCAAGCTGTGCCATGTCTGCACCCAGAATCTGAACCGGCTAACCCCGGGCCGCCAAAGTGGAACGTGCACACTTAACTGCTGCACCACCGGGCTGGCTCCTGAAAATTGTTTAATAAAATTTAATGTTCTATATCTTTTATATAAAATTTTTTGAAAATTCCTATTAAAGAAGAGTGTTAGTAACTTTTCAAAATTTCACCAGTATCTAATTAGGTTTACACCAATAGATAAAATGTAGAGGCTTGAGGTGTTTATTGTATTTGTTGATTTGTGATTGGTCACTATTTAAAAGCTGTCTGCAAGGCTGGCCCAGTGGCGTAGTCGTTAAGTTCACTTGCTCTGCTTCGGTGGCCTGGCGTTCGGAGGTTTGGATCCTGAGCTTGGACCTAGCACCACTTGTCAAACCACACTGTGGTGGCTTCCCACATAAAATAGAGGAAGACTGGCACAGATGTTAGCTCAGTGACAATCTTCCTCAAGCAAAAAGAGGAAGATTGGCAACAGACGTTAGCTCAGAGCCAATCTTCCTCACATATGCCCAAAAAAAGCTGTTTGCTATGAACTGTTTGAAGAAGCAGATCTATGGAAGTGTCCTCATTTATTAAAATACACTAGTTTTCTGATTTTACCAGCTATAGGTTTCACTTATTCACTCAAAGTTCAGTAGTAAATATTTAGTACTTTCCGTCTGTCAGGTACTGCAGTTAGTAATGTATGATTATGTCTTTAGTATTAGAGCATAGGTCACAGATTGTTTTAGTTGATCAAGTATTCTAAGAAAGAAGAAATAAGTAAACTCTTCTGTTTGTATGCTTCTAGATATTGAAATTATTTATAACGTTCTGACATTTGACAAATTTAGTTACTGGATTTTAGTGGTTTGTCCATGTTTCTCTCTGCTGATAGGAGAAAGAAAGATAGCTTCTCCATGGTCACTGACGAGATTGCAGTAATTACTATCCTTCAAGGTTGGGCTGATGTATTGGGGGGGTCACAGAAAGAGCACAGGGCTTTCTGCTGTGAGATTCATGAGGTCAGTGATCACGGCTGTGATTGTTTATGGTTCTGTCTTCATTCCTGGCACAGTGTCTGGCACATAATAGATACTCAAATATTTGTTTACTGGCCAATTGAATGAATGAACAGATCTGTAGTCTAAAGAGAGGAAAAGGGCAAAATAGCATTATAATTTTGAAACTCATTGTATCAATTCTGGGTGAAATATACACATAAGGAATTTTTGGGACTAGAATAAAAGGTCATTATCTACACACATGCACAGACATATGCACAGAAACACTTGCTACATGTAATTATGCAGGCTATCCAGTAGGGCTCTTCTTGTGGGAGAATTTAATGAAACTTTCTTTTTTACCGTCATGTAAATGCTTATTCTTCATCATCATCATCATCATCATCATTATAATAACATAATATATATATTATAAATAAATGCTTATTTATTATTTAAGGCTCTTCCCTCTCTTAAAGTTAAGAAATGATTTACATTTAAAAATGTTTGCTACTTACATCTGGGTTTGCATTGTAGAGATTAATAAATTAGAGATTAATAAATAGTAAATTTGTAAAAAGTAAGGTTACATAAAGATACTAATAATATGTGAGAGGGCATAAGAGAGGGCTAGTTCTTTAAATTATGCATTCCATCTCAAACAGTAGTTGGATCACTTTTTTTATGTTTTCATTTGTGTTTCCAAAGCAACATTAGACATAGGTCTGAAATGCTGATAGTTGTGAAGTCCAGTGTAGTAACGTTTCATCAGATAAATAAATTTTATCAAATAAATAACTTTTAAAGCTTGTGACAGTCAGCAAAGCATGGCAGCAGCTACTCATATGTCAATTTTAAAAGACAAGGACAGGTACCCAAAGGAGAACAAGCTGTCAGCCTATTTAGACACTTAAGGTTAAATGTCTTAAGGTTAAAAATGCTTGGATAGACACTTCTCCCTATCCCTTTTGCTAAATACAGGACACTGTATAAGCGTAAGAAGACTCTGAAAGGTGGAGAGAAGACTGACCAGCTAGGGTCTGTGGGCCCTCAGGAAGACACTGCACCAGGGTGGTATCAGCAGAGGCCTGGTGGGCAGCCTGAACTCTCACACCCACCCAGCAGTATCAAGATGCCTCTCCCACTCTTTGCCCTGGGAGCCAACAAAGGTGGACTAGAGAATCTGAGTTTCCACTCCTAACTGGCAATAATGGGGTGGCTATCCCCTTCCACTGTCACAGAAGGCTTGCTAAAACAAGATTTAAATAAGATCCAAAGTCTTATAATACCCCAAATAACCAGATTCAATCAAAAATCATTCATCACCAAGAACCAAGAAAATCTCAACTGAAATGAGAAAAGACAATCAACGGATGCTGGCCATGAGATACAGATGTTAGAATTATCTGTGGCACAATATTTTTGAAAGACTAAAAGAAATGAACTGTCAACTGAGAATTCCATATCCAGTGAAAATATCCTTCAAGAATGAAAGGGAACCATGGCATTCTCAGATGAAGGAAAGGAAGAGAATTTGTCATTAGTCGACCTGTCCCAAAAGAATGTCCAAAGGAAGTCAAGTAAGTTTGGAAATAACTTTTTACCAGAAACTAAAAAAATTTTTTATTAGTTATTATGCCAAGGTGCTAGGGAAGTAGCTTGGATCCTACTCAGAACATAAAGTGCATATGCCGTTGGCAGAAGTCCTCAGAGACAGGAGTGTGGCCATATCTGAGTGAGATTCTACAAGGTCTAGCACTTAGTGTTACCCTCCGGATTAGGATTTACACATCCCATGAAGGATTTCTTCAGAGTCCAAATCACTGGATGTCAAAGCAAAGAGTGGCTACGATACATGCGTTGAATTCATAGTTCCATTGTACAGAGGGAAGATATGCTACCTACTTGCTTAATAGATGAACTACTTCTTTCTCCTGAAAGTGCCAGAACAATGGCTTAGAGGATCAGAAAAGACCAATTCCAGATTGGAATGGTGCACAATCAATGTTGATTTATAATCAGGTTTGTTTATTAAGTAGTAATTGACTTAACCACCCAACCTAAAGGAATTTCTTGAAACAAAGGAAACGATAGAAGATGGAATCGTTGAACATCAGGAAGGAATAAAGAACAAGAGAAAGAGTAAAAATATAATTTTTCTTCTTGAGTATTCTAAATTATGTTTGACATTTTCTCTTTCACTTTTTAAAAAAATTACAATACTGTCAAATGTGGTTCTCAATCTATATAGGGAAATATTGAATAAAATTATATTATAAATAGAGGAGGGGAAAGGAACTTAAAGAAAGGTAAAGTTTCTGTACTTTACTGGAGCTGGTAAAAAGTTGACCCCTGGAAACAGTGATAAGTTATATATAATGTAATGCCTAGAACAGCCAGTAAAAAAAAATCTGTTCAAAGAGGTGTACTCAAAAACACTCTAGATAAATAAAAATGAAATTTTAAAATATGCTCAAGTGACCCACAGGAATGAAGGGAAAAGAAAATCAGAGTGAATGTAAATTATCTTTGTTAATTTTTCTGTTTACACACATACCCCATCCAGCTGCAGATAGACAAATGAATGTTCTTTTATTTCAGGTTAGCTCCTGATAGCAAAGGAAGTCTATAGATATTTGTAAAGAGTCTGTATCCTCATCAATCCCAAACATTGGTCACAAAGGAAAGTGGGGAGAGCCGTTTAGTAGAGGCCAGAACACTTGGGTTCTAGTTCTGATTTAATTGCTAATTGACCTTCTCAATCTAGGATGATCAGATAACCTCCTTGGCCCCAGTTTTCTTTTCTCTGTAGAGACCTCTTCTAGTTCAAATGTGATTTCAGATAGATAAATGCTTTACTTTGATCCTGACTGTGTATGTAGTATCTCTAAATTAGAGTGTTTTCATTTTCAATACTTTTAAAGGAATAACCCTGGTGTTTAGAGAGAAATTGGATTAAAAGGCCCAAAGTAATTTTGAAAGCCTTGTGGAGATGGGAAATTATAGAAGACAAAAATGGACCATGAATGTCATCTTTGTTGTACTTTAAATTATGATATGGGAATTGTGGTTTTAACTTCCCAAGGGTGCCTGGAAATGGAAAAGTGTAAGGTCATCAGACTTAGTACCCAGTAGGTTAGATTTGACACACATAATATGGTCTGAAATAATTAGTGTGGCTTTGATGGTGATTTGTTTAAGTTTCAGACTGTTGAAGCTAGATGGGTCCTTGAGGGCGTCTCAGAAGTCCTTGGTGGTCTGGCAGCTTTTGGTTGACGTAACCAAGGGCAGAATGTACTGTTTTTCATTTGCAAGTGTTTTATTCGTTGTGAATGCTGACGTGAGAGATATTTCATATTTGGGATGCTTAATTCATTTTCAGAGGGCATTAAGGTGAATTACATACATTTGGAAATGAGTTTGTAAGTTCTTTAGTGCACCCTGTTCATGTGCTCGTACATGTTTGATGATGCTGATAATGTGCTTTATTATGGGATCCTACGAAAAGCAGATATGTAGTTTAATTTCATAACAAACATTTGTTCGTTGGTAATTATTCACCAATAACGTATTTTATTGGTTTTCAGGTACTTGAAGAAGCAGAAGCTCAACATTTATATCAGTCCATTTTGCCTGATATGGTGAAAATTGCACTGTGTCTGCCAAATATTTGCACCCAGGTTGGTGGAAATAACTTCTTCCTCAGTAGCTTCCTTGAGACTCAGAATTGAATTTCCTTTAAACTCTGGTGGCTAAGGTCAAAGAGAGAGAAGGGAAACAGTTTTTGCCAGAGTATGATGATTTTGCTATACTAAAGAAACGGTTAGAGGCTGGAGAGAAGGCTGCAAAAGGACATTAAAAATGCAGCATTCAATTTCTGAGCTTCAGTTTACACTGTTGATGTTTGCTTGCTCACATTTCTTTTTCTCTTTTTTGTTTAAACAATCTCTAACTTAAAAAAAAGTGGCCATTATTTCAAAACATTCTAATGGATTTAGAACATTTTACCTTGAAAATGGCTTAATACTGCCCACTCCCTACCCCCTCCCCCAAAGCGGTATATTGTATAACAAGTGAGCTTTCTTGGTACTTTATTAACTTTTAAAAAATGAAAGAAAAGATCTGGTATTATTTCATTTTGTTTGGAGTGTATTATTTATTTCTATGTAACAATCTCAAAATTTAGTGGTTCAAAACAACAGGCATTTAGTATCTCACAGTTTCTGTCGGTCGGGAATTCGGGAGCAGCTTAGCTGGGTGGTCCTGGCCCAGGGTCTCTCTTGAGGTTGCAGGCAGGATGTAGGCGAGGGCTGCAGTCCTCTGAAGGTTTGACTGAGAAGGAAGAGCCGCTTCCAAGCTGGCTCACTCACATGGCAGTTGGCAGAAGGCCTCAATTTCTTGTCATCTGCCTCTCCGTGGGCAAGGCCTCATGACAGGGTTGCTAACTTCCCCAAAACAAGCCACGCAAAGGAGAGAGCAAGGAAATGGCAGTGCCTTTTTTACGATAGTTTCTGAGGGTACCCACTCTCTTCCACTGTTTTTTTTTCGTTGGAAATTAGTCACTAAATCTAGCGCACACTCAAGGAGGGGATAATTAGGCTCTGCCTCTTAAAGGAAGGAGTGTCAAAGAGTGTGTGGACATATTTTCAAACCACCTGAAGAGGTTGTTGGTTTGTTCTTCATAATTTTATTCCCATGCGTCTCACAACAGTGGTTTGAATTTGCCTTTGTCTTTTTTTTTAAAGATTGGCACCTGAGCTAACAACTGTTGCCAATCTTCTTTTTTTTTTCCCTTCTTCTCCCCACAGCCCCCCAGTACATAGTTGTACATTCTAGTTGTAGGTCCTTCTAGATTTGCTTTGTGGGACACCACCTCAGCATGGCCTGACGAGCAGTGCCATGTCTGCGCCCAGGATCTGAACTGGTGAAACCCTGGGCCACCGAAGCAGAGCACCTGAACTTAACCACAGGGCCACGGGGCTGTCTCCTTGCCACATGGAGGCTATCCAGGGTTCTGCTAATACTGTTGCTCCACAGGGGCCCTAGGGACATTTTGGGTGAACAATTTCTGGGTGGTCCCACACATTGCAGTCTGTCACTGAGACACCCCAAAACCCACAAGCACAGTCGTTGGGGCAACTAAAAAACATGTCCAGGTGCCTGAAGGCCATGCCACCTTCAATTGAGAACCACTGAATGTTTTTCATCATGCCATATTTTTAGTATTTTACTGTCATATTTCCAATTTTATTTCACCTCATTAGTGCATTGTATCTGAGATAAGTTTTTCTATTGGGCAGGGAAAATGTATTTTAAAACTCATCCTCTTCTTGTTTATGTTGAACGTTATTTGCTTAATTATGTTTTGTGTTCATTCTTTTCCCATTCCCTCCTTGCTTTTCCCCTTACCTAGTAAAGTTTCTCACTACCTCTTAGGCTCTGCCTAACTTTTACTTCCCCTGTGCAGCCTTCCCTACCTCTGCCAGCCAAAGTTAATCTGTCCTGGAGTGCTCAAATCGTATTTAGCACATCATTTTGTAATTTATGTCTTATCTCCTCCTGGTGAGTTAAATTGTATATATTGTTATTTAATGAATTTATCACATTAACATTCTTTAGGCCAAATCTAAAAAGTAAATTTTAGATTTATAAAAAGGAAATTAAAGGAAACAAATTTTGTACATGAACTTTTTGAAAGATCTTGGTTCATATTATCCAGTCATTTATTTTATTCATCTAGCTGAGCACTTTATGAAAAGATTTACAATCTCTAGTTTTCCCCGAGTAGGAGCTTTCAGGCATTTCTCCTCACCAAGAGAACAGAAATCGTTTATTCTATTTAAAATTATATTATTTGGTTATTTGGAGGACAAGAAATGTTTATGTTTAAAGTCCATTAAGCCTAAAAATATCACCATTAATTTTTAAAATCATTTTTGTAGATAACTGGGTAAATGGTAGTTAAAAACTCATTTCTTACTAAAATCAAGTAACAGTTTGCTTTAAGCCATTGACTCATTGTCACCTTTTCTAAACTCATTGCTGGGTTTTAAATAAATGTGTGGGATGGGTAAAGAAGATCAATATGAGCTCTCTATTTCCTCCTTCTTAGAGATGGTAATCACTAAGGCCTAAAAGGAGAGAGAATTTTGGATACCAAAGTGAAAATAAGTTCTTTACATTTCCCTTGTTTACCTTTGTATTTTCCGAAGAGAAATAGTTGAAATGCAAGTTTAACCTTATCTTTTTCTAGCAAACTCTTATTCTAGCAGTGATGTGTATTTTCTGTTACTTTTGAGTGTTGATTCTGAGAGTTGATCAAACTGTTCTCTATGCATCCTGGTTTGAGATTAATACAGTTATCCAGGATTCTTAGTTCTGGGTCTTATTGAAAGGGAGAAGGAGAAGCACCTCTAGATATTATGTTGGGCCATTTTGAAACTTAACAACTGATGTGGAAACTGGCAGTTGGTCTTTGGCTTTACTCTCATGTCTTTAAAAACATGTAGTTTAAGGGGCTGGCCCCGTGGCCGAGTGGTTAAGTTCGCGCGCTCCGCTGTAGGCGGCCCAGTGTTTCGTTAGTTCAAATCCTGGGCGCGGACATGGCACTGCTCATCAGACCACGCTGAGGCAGCGTCCCACATGCCACAACTAGAAGAACCCACAACGAAGAATACATAACTATGTACCGGGGGGGCTTTGGGGAGAAAAAGGAAAAAATAAAAAAAAAAATCTTTAAAAAAACAAAAAAAACATGTAGTTTAAACATTTAAAATAAATAAAACCTACTGAACACAGTACTCAGGTCCTGTGGATTATACTGAAAGTAAAAGGTCAGTGAATTTCGGATTGATATAACTAGAAGATATTTCAGACATAAGACATTTGAAGGAAAAATGTCCTACATCTTCCTTAATTTGGAATGATTATGTAGGAAATGGCTGTCTTCTTACAAGTTAAACATAAATCTGTATACACATGTGCCATTAATTGCTTTAATAAAATTAGATTTGGGTCTCATAAAGAAATTGTCTGTGAATTGTTACTCAGAATTAGAGGGAAAAGACTCACTTATTGAAATATTTTCCTTAGGTCATTTTATTTAGAACTGAAATAGAAAAATTACAGTGTCCAACCATCTTTAATATAAGTGAGAACAGAATTTAGCATATGCAATAATAACTAAACTCAACATTGCCTTTTTCTCTTTCGTCCTTTGTTTTAATTTTCATTACATAGATAATGTGTTTTTATTTTCTTACTTGCTAAAGCAATCTTGTTTTTCACTAATAAGTAATGTTTTGTGTTCTCTTCACTATCGTTATTATTGACTAGAAACCTGCAGTTTGTCAAACACCTACATTTTTCCAATCATCCTTGATGAACTGCCCTTGACTTCAACAGTATTGCTGATTTAAGGATTTAAGAGTGGCCTGAAATTATTCCTGCCTTAATTTAGCAAATGCAATTTGGTGCCTCTGCTTTTGAAATTGCTAAACTAATTATTGCTCATCTTGTCTGTATTTTTTGTTTCCTCTATCAGCCAATACCACTCCTGAAACAGAAGATGAATCATTCCATCACAATGTCACAGGAACAGATTGCCAGTCTTTTAGCTAATGCTTTCTTCTGCACGTTTCCACGGCGAAATGCTAAGATGAAATCAGAGTATTCTAGTTACCCGGACATTAACTTCAATCGGTATGTTTTCAGAGAACACCTCTTTAACAATGAAATAGAGAAGGGTGGAAGGAATTAATAATATTTATTGAGTGATTTGCCGTAGGCCAAACTTTTTGTGTACAATTATCTAATTTAATCTTTATAATATGTTGAGTTAAGTGATATTTTTGCCATTTTGCAGGTGAGATAAATGTTCACAGAGGTTATGCAAATTGTTTAGGATCCAGGAGCCAGTAAGTCTCAGAGCTGAGGTTTAATCTCAGGTCTCTCTTACTCTAAGGCCCACATTCTTTCCACCCTGTCGGATTGTCCTCCTCTGAGTGCCCTGGAGTTTTTATACTTGTTAGATGTGATTAGTCACAGGAACGTTTGTTGTATGTTATAATATTTGTATGCTGAAACAATGTTAAAGCTGAAGTACCAGTCCTCCTTTCTTGGAAGTATGAGTTTAAAGTTACAAGGCTGACTATCTTATGAGACTTGAAAAATATACTTGTTAATATGAAAAGCAAAAGTGAAAGTTAACTTTAACTTTTTATAGACATGACTAATTTATCCATGTAATATTTTAAAAAGAAAATAAAAGAATGCTTAAATTATTTGACTAAAGTAATACATTTCGAAAGTATTGATAAAGTTTCAGATTCTAGCCATTTTCCCAAATGATAACTCTCTGTCATCTACACAAAACACACGTGTAAAATCTTGGCAAATAAGTATCATTTTTTTTCCTCTCTCCCACTCCCCCCTCCTAAACCTCTCTTTCTTTTTCCACCTGAGAATTATCTTTATTGGCAACTCTGAGTAGAATGTGAGTTTTCTTCCCTAGTGTCAGGAGAGGGCCTTCAGAAAATTGCTACAAAGTATGCTCCTCTTTCCCAGTAGGTTGAGTGTAATGTCCTCCTGCGCTACCTTCCTCTTATCCCCACTCCTGCCTCTGTGGGTGGGACAGTGTGGGCAGGGTGCAGAGTAAGAGGTGCAGTCAGGGAGCGAAGTCACAGTTTTGTATGCCGTTTTGTTTTTGTCTTCAAAGTTGCAGTAGTGTCACTTATATTAGTTTGCCCTTTTAATGTTGTTTCTTTTAAAACTTTTTATTTTGAATTAATTTTAGACGTGTAAGAAAGTTGCAAAAATAGTACCTGGAATTCCTGTGTACAACTCACCTAGCTTTACCCTTATGGTCACATTACTATGTAACCATACTATGTTGCCACAGTGAAATTATCAAAAGCAGGAAGTTAACATTGGTGTGATACTTTTAACTGAACTACAGACCTTATTTGAATTCCACCAGGTTTTTTACTGTATTTTTCTGTTCCAGGATCCTCCAAGTATCCCACGTTGCATTTAGTTTCCTTAGTCTCCTCCACCCCATTCCTTAGTTTTTCCTTTTCTTTCATGACTTTGACACTTTTGAAGACTGCTCATCAGTTATAGAATGTTACTTAGTCTGGGTTTCGCTGACATTTTTTCACAAATGGCGTAAAGTCATGCACTTTGGCAGGAGTATCACAGAACTCATGTTGTGTCCTTCTCAGTGCATCACGTGAGTGAACTCATGATGTGGATGTGTCTTCTTACTAGTGATCACCTGACTCAGTAAGATGATGTCTGCTGGGTTTTCCACTGCATAATTACGATCTTTTCCTTTGGGATCAGTAAATATCTTGGGAGATCTGTTGACACTATACAAATGTTTTGCCTCACATTTCCCCCCCTAATTTTAGTATCCATTGGTGGATCTTGTCTGCAAACATTACTACTGTAGTATTTACTTAGTGTGATTTTTCTATTTCCCTCTTTCCTTCCACATTTATTAATTGGATTGTAAGGAAGAGCTATCCCTTTTCATTTTTTTATATCAGAATAGACTTACGGATATTTATTTTAGTCCGTCAGTTAAAATTTAACACTGTTATTTATTTTGCTGCTCAAATTATTCTAGCGTTGGCCACTAGGGCTCCTTCAGCTTGGCTTCTGTGTTCTTTTGACAAGCCCCCAACATTTGTTTTGAGCATTTTCTAACTTTCTGGCATCACAAGATATTTCAGGCTCATCTTATATTTTCCATGACGCGGCTTTGGAATCAACCATTTTTCCAAGGAAACTTGAACTTAAGATTTATTGGAGAATGGTATTTAGAGACCAAGATCTGGTGATAGTTGTGCTCATTGCTACTAGAGTGTCATGGTTTCAAGTGCCACTTACTTTTCTGACAACTCCAGAAGGCAGTGGAGAGATAGATTCACAGTTCTCTGCAGTGACGCAGAATTGTCATCCAAAGAGCGTTATTTTTAGCCTCTTGAAATGTAGAATGCTTTTCTCTCTTAAGATGAGAAAAATTCTAGGTCAGCTGGTTAGTACCTAATAAAAATTTTTATTAAAACTAAGCCACTTCAGTACATTTATTGTGTTTTATTTTATTTATTTGGTAAATGAAAGCATAGCAGATGATTTGAATGTAAGACTACTTTTAGACTGTAGTAATTCTTGGGCTATATTTTTAAGCCTTTCAAACATTAAAATATCAGTGAAAATCTTTGTTATCACATATAGTACTCTCCATTATCAACACTAAGGAGGAGTGTAGCAACAAACAAAAAATGATGTCATCTTTGTAAGAGAATTTCTTTAAAATCTCAGCAACATTGTCCATTTTATATCATAGCCTGTTTGGTTGTGTAAATACCAGTTGTAAGGGGCATGTTTTTAACTTCTTTTTCAAAATCGGTGCATTAGCTAAGTTTGTTTTGAGAATAGTATTTAGTCAGTTTAGTTCAAATATACAATGAGCAATTACAGTCTCTCCACAGCGTGTTAAGTGCCTTGGGGTACAAGAGAAAGGACAGGCCAGTTTCTGACTTCCGTGCCTTTCTCTCCTCCATGTGGCTTTTGTTCCTCCTTCAAGGCTCATTTCACGTATCACTGTTTCTGATAGCTCTGATCCTGCCAGGATAGGTTTGCTATTTCTCTGATTTCCTATGACAGCCTGTATGTACCTGTTATATAAAGGAGAGGTACACATTATTGTGACACTCTATTAGATAAGGATATAATTTAATAAAGGAAGCCTTCGTTGAGGAAATAACTTTTGAACTAAGCATGTGAAGGTAGGGAGGAGTTTTTACCAAGGAGGAAAGGAGAAGTGATTGCATTCTAGGCAGGGGGAACAGCATGTACAAAGGCACTATGGAGAGAAGCACACGACATGTCCAGGGACTGAGAGTAGACCAGTGTGGCTGTAGCACTGGAAGAAAAAGGAGAAGCTGCAAAAGTAGGTGGGGGCCTGTAGGCCATCCTTCGCAATAGGAGGAAGTCATTAAAGGAATTGATATGGGGGGATGGGAGGAAGCTGGTACATCTGCTCAGATTTACATTTTCTAAAGTTTGTTTTGACTACAGTGTGGGAACCACGTTGCAAAGGGGCCAGAGTACAATGATTTTACCCAGTTGGGAGGCTACTGTAATGTACCAGGAAAGAGAGGATGGTAGCTGGATAGTGTAGTGGTGGAGGTGGAGGTGTGGAGACATTTGAAGGGCAAGTCAGTGTGATGGTGAAGGACTGGATTGGCAGGTTGACAAAGAGGCATCCAGGGTACTTCCCAGGTTTGTGCCATCGGGCATGCGCCTTTAGCGCTCTCTACTTTTTCTACTGTACTGCCTACCCTACTTTGTTATCATTGCTTGTTTAATCCTTTCAGTGGGACAGAGATCATATCTGTCCTGTTCTTTGTTGTTTTCATAAAATCTCATGCATTGTAGGCCTTCATAAATCCTTGTTGAATGGATAAAAATAAATTTTACAGATGAAACATTTGAGAAATTAAGTGACTGGTTAGTGGCAGAGTCCTAGGACTGTAACGTACTCATCGTTCTCAGTCTGCTGTCTTACTTTTCAAACTGCATCTTATTCTTAGGAATTGGGAGATTTTTTGGTTTTTTTGGTGAGGAAGATTGGCCCTGAGCTAACATCTGTACCAGTCCTCCTCTATTTTGTATGTGGGACACTGCTACAGCATGGCTTGACGAGTAGTGTGTAGGTCCGTGCCTGGGATCCAAACACGCGAACCATAGGCCACTGAAGCAGAGCACACAAACTTAACTGCTATGCCACCAAGCCAGCCCCCAGATGTTTTATTTTTAAGCCACATATAATTAAAGTTTTTACCTTTAATTTCTTTAGTATTTGGGGTAAGATTGAGAGAAAACAAATAGCATTGGTATCTGCAATTGCAGTTGTATAAGGAACCTGTTTATTTAATACATATTTTTTTGCTTATTTGAGAAGTTATTTAAGAATTTTCTCTACTATACAAGTAGACTCACTAGTAGTTAAGGGCTATGCATCCCTCACAGGTTTTCTTTTTTAATATAGAAACGGAAATGGTCAAATTTTGTATGTAAGTAAAGAAGTGGAAATTTAATTTTGTAGAAATACAATTATCTGTTTCCATGAAGAGTATTATATTAATAATAAGGATTCTCCAAAGAGTAAATAGCCTCTCTGTTTTATTCAGAATAAGTATTTTTCAGCTCTAGGATCTGGCAGACATGCTGTAAATTATAAAATTTCTATCCAAAATTCAGAAGACAGTGGTTTTGGGGTTGTTATCCTGGTTTTTGGTTTTGGTAAGAAGTAGCTCTAATTAATAATGCTTTAGAATTAGTGTTTCAATGGCTACTTACGATTTGTTTTTGTGGAATGAGTAATCAGCTAGTGCATGTATCTCGATGGTCTCTAAGATAAACCTTTGATGTCTTAGTTACAAGCTTTCTCAATTACAGTTAAGTCAAACAGTTGTAAACTTCTTAAATTTTTAATTTTTTGGATAAGAACTGTGCATTCTCTTACTAAGTTAAGATTGTATCAGAAAGCCTCTTCTCTAAAAAATGTTATTTTTAAAAACAGTATTATGGGGGGACTGACCCAGTGGCTGAGTGGTTAAGTTCACATGCTCCACTGCAGCAGCCCAGGGTTTCGCTGGTTCGGATCCTAGGCGCGGACATGGCCCCGCTCA